TTGGTCCTATACGCATCCTAATCACATCGAAGTAATAATAACAATATTATTGTCATCGTCCGATCTGACTCCGATGCTGTCGCGTCTTAGAACGACCGACACACTCTCGATAATTACGCGACGATATCCATTCCATGACAGAAGTATAATAATATCAAACGCCAAACAACTACCCAGAAATAGGGACACAAACCTCGAGGATGCAAATATAATTAATGTTTTCATTAAAAATAATACAATTTTTATCTCCATTATTGCATTCCGTCGAATTTCATACAGATCGTCCGTTCTTTCGCGCATTTTGAACACATTTTTTTTAAATTGTTGCTAAACCTATAGAGTTATTGCAGGTGACAAACAGGGACTGGAAGCTTTTGAATTTATCGGTATCGGTTCCGGCACTGGTTCTCCAAAAACAAAATAAGTGTAAAAAAATAAGGGTACCGATTCCAGATAATTTAGGTACCGAAAAGTATAATTATTTTAAATACTTATCCGGAATATGGGTTTAATATTGATAGTATGAGAAATATTAGAAAACTCATATTATGATCATACATAGTTTATACACATTTGAACCTAAAAGAACCTATTTAATTTAAAATTCCGGCTCGGTTCTGGTACTTTATATTTTATTAAAATACAGGATCCGGTTCTTAATAATTTAAAGGTTCTGGTTCCAGAACCGGTACTTTTAGGTTCGGTTCCAGTCCCTGGTGTCGAGTGTACCTCTTCATTTTTTAAGTCACTGCATTACGCATTTGTTTCTTATACAATTATTTGGTGACTATGCTTTTCTGTTTAAAATATATTGACTTCACCAAATTTTTAAGATAGTACTTGTTGTATTATTTTTTAAATTTTAAATAGATCATATTATGTGGTGTATAATACAAAGATTTTATTAAATCATTTGGTATGTCTGTGACCTACGTTAACAGCTTAACTATTATAATTTTCCTGATCTTAGGACCAGGGAAGAATGCTAATCTTTAAGACATTTATTATATTAGCTGATAAAATATTAAAATAAATTCCAACTAAACCAAATGTACTCATTTAATATTTACAAAAAATGAAAATAATTTCATTGCTATAAAGTATGAAATGAAACTGTCATAGTTTATTGTCAAAATGTTAAATATAATTTTTTTGGGGCCAAAAGTAAACTCTAGAGATCATTGCACATTGTATATTATTCAGCAATAATTAGAGACTAAGGGCGGGTTGCATAAAGAACAGTCTGTAAATATGTTACCGGCCCTGTATTTTACCGGGTCTGTAAGGTTTTTAATGATTGTGTAAACTATTCTCGGGTTGCATAAACAAATATTAAATTATTAATAACCGTGGTTACCAAATAAATTAAACCATATTTTTTTGATAAAACCAAACCAAACAATTCTTATCATAATTCATAAAAGTAAATACAAATTATTTAAATTAATATTTATTTTTCGAATTCGAATATTAATTGGTATAGGTATTTATTCTAAATTTTGTAAGTATTGTTATTTTATAGCCGTCTACTGTCGACAATTTTAAAATGTCGAATGTTAATGAAAGTATGGTAAAAAAAAATTCAAGAACTAAAAATTTTGATGAAAGAGAAAAAAAAATGCTCATTGAACTTATTAATCCCTACAAACATATCATTGAAAACATAAAGGTATGTATAACAAATTTAGTTAACAAAACAGGGCAATGATATTAGAGTAGGTACTTATAATATTGATGTATTAATTTGTTTTACACCTATTCAAATTTGTTTTAGACTGATTCTTTTAGCGTTAAACATAAAAGCAAAATATGGGAAAATATTGTTATCGAATACAATGATCAGCAAACAACTGGTATTAGAACTGCTAAACAGCTAAAAACCTTATATGACATGGCCAAAAGGCAAGCGAAAAAATCAATTAGTGATGATAAAGTAAGTTAAAATGTATAAGTAAATACTAAGAACATGTTGCAATTATGTGTGAATTAGCCTGTGTTATTGTTGTCGGCAGGTACACTGATACATATTTATGATAAAACTATAATATAATTTACTGTTTAATGAAATTAAAAATATAAGAAAACATTGTATTTAAAATAGGTGTTAATGTATAAAATCATTAAACTATTTACGGATGAGGAACAATCCATGGTTCTGGACTTGGTCCAATCTCAACGTTCATCTATTGTAAGTTATTTGTACTTTTGTAAAGTATATAGGCACAAGATAAAAAAACAACATAAGTTCATATATCTGATTTTTTTTTTTTTTATTATTAACATAGCTTAGTGGCAATCTATTTGAAAAGGATGAAGCATGGTCAAATGTTCTTGAAACATTTAATTTGCACCAAACATCAGGTGTAAGAACAGTAGATGAAATCAAATATTTATTTGAATATTTAAGTAAAACCGCTAAAAGTGAAAATAGAAATGATAAAGTAAGTCCCATTATTACTTAATTTATCCTACCTCCATCAAAATAACAATTGGTGGTTGACACTCAGTAAAAGATTTGATTTTAAATATTTGAAATGAAATGTGTTCTAGCATGATTTTCAATTATGTACCATTAATTACAAATTTTAATATTTCTGACAACCCAAATTACTGTTATGCAAACTCTTTGTTTCTATGTAGTAGAAGTGACTGATCTAGATTTAATGTGTATTCTAATTATGTTATTATTTGTATTATAGGTTGAAAGATTTAAAACAGGCGGAGGACAGTACAAAAAAAGTATGAACCAATTAAGCGAGCAAGTAATTGCAGTAATTGAAGACCGAATTACTCCGTTAGTAAATGAATTTGATGATGATTATGGCTATGCTGGTATGTCCTAGTTACTAATATTTAAATTATATAATTCAAATAAAAATTAAGAAGGGCAATTGGGTAAGACTCCGATTCCTAACCTATCAACTAATATTAGTGAATAGTAAATATATGATATGATATGTTTATATTACTGTATTAAAGTAATTTTATCATTTATAAAAAATCTAAGATTAAAGGATTTTAATAATTCATAGAATCAAAAATTATGTATACATACTATCTATTGTATTAACTTCAAAATATTTTAGTAATTTATATGAGTTTTTTACATTTAAGATCCAATAAACGCTGACAGATGTGGTCAAAATGTACAAGATGATGTGGAAACTATTGCATTTGAAGATGGAGTAGAAGAAATTGATATCACAGTAGATGATTTAACTCATAATTCCCATAAAAAAGTGGATTGGGGTATATACATTTTATTTTTTATGTTTAACTATTGGGATTTACCTATGTGAAGGTCTTATAAATGTATAAATGTATTAACTTATCTATATTTTTTTAAGGTATATTTAATATAGAACCTGAAACATCAACATTCAATAACAGTTACCAGTCACCAGAAATAAATTTGTCTAGTAATTTAAAAACAAAAAAAGATACTGCGGTTAAACGAAGTTCATCACAAAAATCTATCTGTGATGGTCTACAAGAGTCGGCAAAAAAAAAAATTAACAAAGTATGTACACAACAAAAATTTTCATCAGATATCCAAGACATAAAAATTAAAAAAGCAATGGTGGAATTAGAAACGGCAGAAACTACACTGCAAATAGTTAAGACTGAACTTGCAACAAAAAAATTAGAATTGGATTCAAAAACAAAACAAATGAAATTGCAAGAAGATATTTTAAATTTACAAAAACAAAAGCTATTGGAAAATTAGCTTTTAATGAGTTTGTTGTTATTATTTAACCTAAAGAAATTATATTTATAATAGGTACTCTAGAATATAATACTGTATTTATTATTATTTATACTTAAAAAGGAATTGTTTTTGTTATAATATTATGATTAGTATTTGTTAATATTCATATTTAAAAAAGAATTATTTTTTTGTTATAATATTATGATTAGTATTTGTTAAAAAAGGGGTTAGGTTATTTAGTTTAATATTCATACTTAAAAAGGAATTGTTTTTGTTATAATATTATGATTAGTATTTGTTAATATTCATATTTAAAAAAGAATTATTTTTTTGTTATAATATTATGATTAGTATTTGTTAAAAAAGGGGTTAGGTTATTTAGTTTAATATTCATATTTAAAAAAGAATTATGTTTTTGTTATAATATTATGATTAGTATTTGTTAATATTCATATTTAAAAAAGAATTATGTTTTTGTTATAATATTATTATCAGTATTTGTTATTATTCATACTAAAATACATAGGTACATAAGTTACCTATTTTGTATATCAATAATTATCTATTATTTAATAAAGGCAATTTTTTTAGTTCTTAGTTATTTTTTATGATATTGTCACAAGGGTGACCTTACATAATATAATAATGAGTCTCTTGTTGCATAGACACATCATCGAGAGTGAAATTACAGTTATGTACAAGTTTTCATATTTAATAGGAATTATGTTTTTTTTTTAAATATTTAATTTAATTTAATTCTTAAAAATCGTATGTACATAAAATAATTCTATAAAAAAATAATTGGAAAACAAATTTAATTAAATACAGTCTCAATTAATGTTCGGCGCACTATATTTCCAGTTTGTTGTACAGGGTAAACTGGAACTTGTCGAAGCAAATTTTCATTTAGGAGAGTATCATCTATAGGTAAGGGATCATTAGCTTTAATCAACATATTATGTAACACTGCTGTGGCGATGATTGTTAGCAAAGTAGTTGGTATTTGTGTCCGAATACCAACAGACAATACTGGGAACCGTCTTTTCCACACACCAAATGTTCGTTCTATAACATTTCTGGTACCGATTTGGGCTTTCTAAAAAATATTAAAAATGTATTGCTTTAACTAGAACAACTAATAATGGTTGTCATTTATGAGACACGTTTTGTTTTTTCTAACCTGATAACGTTTTTCTGCTTCGGTAATTGGATTAGCAAGAGGGGTCATCAAATAGTTTCTACATGCGTAACCTCCATCTCCTAGAAGTAGAGCATCTCCAAATTCATGATTTTAAAATTGTGCTCTCAATAGTGAATTGTCGAATATGGTAGAATCATGAACCGAACCAGGCCAACTATTAACATTTGAATAAAATGCATACAATTTATAATGATTAATAAATTACAAGTATTTTTCTATGTATAATTATTTAGTTATAGTTACTAACCGAGCCACAATATTTGTAAATTGTAAATTACTTTTACAAACAGCTTGAACATTTATGGAAAAATATCCTTTTCTATTTCTAAACCTTTCTCCAATATTACTATTGGGAGACTGTATTTTTATATGAGTACAATTAATTGCACCAATAACATTGGGAAATTGACGCAATTGATTGAAACCTTCATACACTGATTCTCTCTCTAGTTCTGTTCTAGGCATTTGAATGTATTGTGGTTTTAGGGTTGCAATACATGTAGACACTTTTTTAACAATACGACAAACTGTTGACTTATGTACACATATATGGTCTCCTAGAACTGCCTAAAATATAACATAATGCATTTATATATCTCTGTATTTTATACAACATATTTCAAATGTCTAATAAAAATGTATGTGAAGATTATGTAAAATTCTAAAAAAATTACTTGAAAAGCACCAGTTGCATAGTATCTACGTGCAATCAGAAGCTGAAGCATTGGTGATAAAGACATGTTCCGGTGTGAATTATGATGAAGATCATCTTGTATCATGTTTAGCAACTCAATGAACATCATTTTAGACAGCCTAAAAAATACAAAATACTACTCTGGTCTCTGATACATAAAATACCTAACTAAATATAGGTAGATGGCATAGACCCAAAAACTTAAATGGTGCATTTTCACTTGAGCCTTGAAATATGGTTAAACTATTAACTAATTATCTGTTTCATTTCTAAGGAATCAAATAACTAATACATAGTTTGGATTTCCATTTTGGAATTTGAAGAGTCTGATTTAACTAATCAGTTGCATACAAATTATAGGGTATAAACTCGGCTAATGATTACTTATTATATTTATACCTAACAAATTACAACAGTAAACTAGTGAAATCAAATATTTTTTAATATAGGTAGGTACCTGAATCTCTGTTTGAAATCCGTATCGTCATATTCACTGAAAGGATTCGATCTGTCACGAAAATATCGTGGTCTCGGTAATACCTGCAATACACCAATTATAAAATCTTCGTCACTAGACGAAGACGAATCATTTGAACTAGACGAATCATATTCCATCGTTATTATTGGAAAAAAATTGTGCGTAACCGCGTACTGCGTAGGTATATTAACTTAAAAATAATTTGTATTCTTTAATTATCGCAAAAACTAAAAAAATATATAATATAAATAATATAAATTGAATATTGATAATCTTTGATAATAGAACTTGTTTATCTTATCATAATAATATTATATTATTTTAACCGATCTGTAACTAGTTACAGAGCCCAAATCGGATCTGCAGTTTACAGGTCCGGTAGCCGATAATTTACAGAGCCAGTAACTTTACCGAGCGTTCAAGCAACACCTAATTTTATTTACAGATCCGTTAACGTACTTACAGATCTGTAAGTAGTTACAGAACGTTTATGCAACCCGCCCTAAGTACATAAAGCTAATAATATACTAACAAAACAAATATTCGTAGTTAAAATATTGTGTATTTAGGTACAAAAAAAATACAATTGTAATTATAATGAGTACCTACTTAAAACCATATATCATTAAAAATGTAAAAATATAAGTTATTTAGGATAAGATTTTGTAGAACTTTGTTTTTAGTTAATTATTTTCAACAACAAGATACTTTGAAAATCATGAATATTTGATATTTATTTAAATAATTTAAGACAGCTCCGAAATGGAACGATTATTTGTCTGCTTATTTTTTTTTATTCAAACGCAATATTGTATTAGTAAAATCATGTATTTTTAAATTTCAAATTCATATTTTTCAAACGTATTGATTTCACTGTAATCTGGCATATTTCTAATACAAAAAAGTGGTGCGTCGCTCTACTCAGTCGTGTATACATAATTTTTGTATGGGCGGGGGGGGGGGGGTATCAAAATAAAAATTAAACCACATAAAAATAATAAATAACAACATGTAAGTTATAACTGTTATATAAAATTTTAATTCAAAAACACAAAAAATTAAACCAGGTTAGTCGTTTGAGGTGATTTGTGTTATGTTATACACTATTTATGTACATATAATATAAATCAGGATTTCTGGGCATCAGTATTTTGAAAGAAAAAATAAAATATTTTTTGGTACAATAGTGTCTATAAATATGTATGTAATTTAAGAACAACTTAGTTGGTATAAAATATTTGTTATAAATTATAATATACTAGATAATTATATGGAAAATACATAGATCCTACCTTTCGAGTGTAGTGAGAAAACATTTTTTTGTAATAACTATAATATTTACAATAAAATATATTGGCCTGCCAAATTTTTTTTTGACCTTTGTAGTTGTTAACATACTTTAACAAGTTTAATTTACAACACTGAATTACAAAAAATATAGTATGAGATTTAATTAAATTTTTTCATCATCAATTACTTCTTCAGAACTAATAGGAATATGTATTTGATAGGTGTGGCCTTTGTTCATGGTAATACAAAATTGATAATATTTTGGTATCAAACCGACCCGAGCATTATATTATTATTTCTTAAAACTTTTTCTAATGTAGGAAAATGTATTTCTAGCCACATGGACATTCGAGAATCGTCGTTGCAGAGTTTTTCCATTAACAACAACTTGTGAGGAACCTTGTAAGTATTACATTTTTGTATTTCAACAGATAGAAAACATTTTCATCGACAATGGACGGTGATCAATACAAAATAAATTACGAATGGAAAATCGTAATATAGACATCCGATAAACGTTTTAATTATTTACGGTTATTCGTTTTTTAGTTACACCAAACACACTAAATCAATTTTGTCAAAATCTATTACTTGTTTTTCCTGATACTTTTGAAAACTAGGTACTGTGTATTTTCTAATTTATTTTACCTCTCTATAAAGTATTAACTAAATTCACTTTCACATCAGATATTTGATAATAAGTTAATAATCGAAGCATTATTTCTACTAGAAAACTTATTTTCTTAAAAACTACGCACTAATAATACAAACAAATATATTATTATTATTTTCATTCGTTTACTATACACCACTTGTATAATATTTTAATAATAAAACAATAGTATAATAAGTAACAATAAATACTATTTGTTGATATTAAAATTGCAGGATTATTGTTTTTTATTCAATTCATAGTTTTATAATAATTAGGTATTATGAACATGAAAACACTTATATTCTCAAAAAAATTACAAAATTACTTTATGAAAAAAGACGAATAATATATTATAAATGTATACAACTGCAGTCATCTCTTAATAATTTCCTGAAGGATAATATTTCTAATGACCATTTAAGTTTCTTTCTACCTTTTGAACAACGCCCACTAAGCAACCAGTAATTTCAACGGACAGAATGAAATCTCAAAAAAAAAAATAATAAACTAAGTTCATGTAATCACTGTTTTATACTTGAGAAAATAATTTAAGATGGCTTTTTCTTAGAGTTTAATTGGAAAATAAAAATAAATTGTTATTTTTGTCGTGGCGTAGTTAAGATTTAACAGTAAAATTTTTTTTCCATGATTAACTTGCATAAATATTAAAAGAACACTATTTATTAACTAGTAAGTTGTTGATGGTTAAAATTATTATGGTTACTGGTTATGTGTTAACAATTCCTAATAATAATTATAATTAAAAAAAATATGTTCATCGAAGCTATCAGTATTATATAATTTTTATTTACTATAAATAGTCGATAAATGAAATAACATTATTCGTCCTTGCATTATCGTAAACAATTTTATTTTAACATCATATTTATTATTTAGCTTTACGACTTTAATAAATATTATATTGTAATATAATAGGATGTACTGGTACTTTATTGTTTTGCATAACTTAATATTAAAGAAAGGGAGCCCTTCATGGCGGGTGCATAGGTGTCCTTGTCCATTATTTTCTCGTTAAATCGATCACTGATGTTCGTGTAATAGAAGTTTGTGAAAGAGATCGTTCAGTCACACAAAGCAGATAACATGTGAGCGAAGAGGGTTACATATACCTATCTCAATTGCATTAATTCTTGTGCATGCTAATCCTATATAGTAGAAATAAGTTTTCATATTAAGACATCAGATGCGTGCTATTTCGAATGAATAAACCACATTTTCGGCGAACAAACAACTATTTGTGAATTGCATTTAAGTGGTGAAAATACAATAAAACGAAGAACCTCAGAATGATGTCTGACAACATTATGGAACCATAGAAATTAACGGACAATCGAGTTAATACCGATTCATATAATGTGAACAAAAATTCGTACCATGAATGTGAAGTGACTTAAGTCAGTTACACACGATGGCAGTCAAATGCGTTATAGTTGCTATCTTGAGAGTCTCATCGTAGGGGTATAGTAGGTAATAATATAGTTGTAGTGCTGTACATTAGACAAGATATTATATTAAGTACGATGCTCACGAGTATTATTTTTTTGTGTTTTAGTGCTTAAACAATTTTGGTAACATAATATTGTGTAGAATATTATAAAAAAAAGACTCACTGAATAGGTACTTGTAGGTACTAAGATTAATTTATGTTTTACAGAATACAAAGTCTTATTCATTCGTAGATAATAATTATTAGGTATCTAACATTTTAAATTTATATTTTGTATTTGTTATTACAGTAAACTCTCTTTATGTCGAAACTCAAAGAACACAATTAAAAGTTCTAGATATTATCGAGTTTTATTGTAATGATAATTATTTCGAGGGGATTTCAATTGAGTTTGACATTACTTAATATTCGATATATCGGCATTCGATATAATAAGAATCTACTGTATTACATTTGTATTATCCACTTAAATTGAAAAAAGATTTAAAAAAAATTTATATTGATATAAAATATTTTATTTTATTATATTATTTTCAATAACATTATATTTCTTGTAATTTATAGTAAATAATGATATAATATTATAATTTTCCCATTTTTTGGAAAATATGATAAATAATATGAATGATAAAAAGTGTATTGAATATTATACTCTTAATTATTGAACATGCCGTCATGGTACCGATTCTAAAAATATAAATTGTATGGACAAAATACCGATTAAAGCTTATCTCATGCTCTATAATTGATCTAGCTGGACTTAAGAAAATTATTTTCGTTTTTACTTATATTTCCAAAAAAAACGTTATACGACAATGAATGGATTAACCATCATAGGTCACAAAAGTTATTGTGAGGGGGAGGGTTATTCAGTAGTAGTTTACTTTAGTGCACTACAATAATACATACCTATAACAAAACTAGACTCAACATACACCTCAAAATAGTTTTAGCTTCAGTACATAAAATGGTGATGGAGTGTGATATAAGCGGTTAGAAATGAATACATGACCATAATATTATACGATGTTGTAATACTATAATAATAAAGTGATTAATTGATATATCACCGGTCTTATACTCTTATGAGAAAAAACATGTTCTGTCCGACGATTAGGTTAAACTACATAATGTGAAAACAATTAGATATTATTATTACTCACTCACGAGCTTGAATGTAGGTACATTACAAAGTCTTATAGCGACTATTTTGGTTAAATTATTAAAATATCTAACTACCTATCACACTACAATAGCCGTTAAACAAAAATGTATTTTGATTATTATTTTGTTCAATATTAAACTGCAGATATTAAATAATTGAAACATATTATCACGATAGTAAATAAGATTACTATAGATGTAGAGAAATTCAAAATCTTCTAATATTATATTATAATAATCGATACAGACTTGATAAGTAAGAGATAATAAATAGTAAATACAATTGGTAAATTGAAAATTTGTATTTATGATAATAACTGTTTATTGATATTAGATTATGCAAATCGAAGACATACAATATACATAATATATTGAATTATTGACAAGGTGGTATTAGATATTGTACCGTGACCTTGTTAAATTTATATAACAGTATTTCGTAGAAGGTGTATTTTAGAATATATATTATAGATATCAAGACTAGAACGAATAATCAGTTTTACAACCAGATGTGCATTTGCCATAGGCGCACATAGGGGCGTGCTTGGGGGTGCTTCAAA